GGAGGTGTTCATTGCCAACCCGCCATTTATGCAATAATGATTTTAGTCTAAGAAAAAAAAGTTATTTGAACTTTTGAATAAAGCCAACCAATCAATACAGCTAATGCATCACCCTAGAAATCAACCTGGAAGTGTCACCAAGAAAACAATATTCCTGCACTACTTCAGATGAACAATATGGTCATTATACTATGATACAACATTGAAAAGTCTTCTCTCAGATCACCATACCCCAAAAACTAGCAATTAGCTTCAATTTCAAGACACATTGACCAGTTGACTGGGTAAGGGATTACTTGCCTGTTTCTTTGTTGCATTTTACTTTGGTTTTAATCTGGTTGGGATACCTTTGGACAGGTTTCATATCATAATGTCCTTACCCGTTGCTATGTAAAACGTATTTGCGCATCCTTTTGTCTCACGCATATATTTAAAAGTTAGAATGCACAAAATTAAATAATTTCTCAAGTTATCATCAGGATCCTACTCAGAAATTTGTTCCAAGCATTCGCACTTATATTCAAAATTTTACAAATTTATCCTCAACGATTTAAATCACAGATAAACATGCAAACCTTCTTTTTCCTTCAAATGATGTGTAATTGCATAAAAAATTAAGAAAGAGAACAATAGATTTCACCTATGGTAGGAGAGAGATCCTCGAAAGTATCTGAAGTGAAACTGAGCAAAAGGCTACTTTTCCCGACACCAGAATCTCCAATCAACAACAGCTTAAACAAGTAATCGAATTCCGGAGGCGATGATAATGATGATGACGACGATTCCATATTTTTCTCAATTTTTAAATCCCTATAATCAAAATTTCCAATAAGTTCATACATAATTCAAAAACCCCCATAAAACAAATTATAATAAAACTAGAAAAACGGGCAGAGAAAAAGACAGAGGACCCACGATTGAATTCAGTGAATGGGTAAGAACAAGATATAGCAGATCTACAATCTACACTTTCAGATGTCAATAAATGTATTAAAACATCTACACTTTCAGATGTCAATAAATGTATTAAAACATTCTGTTGAATATATATTTCGTCACTGATTATATAAATCAATCATTTAGTGAATGTTAAAGAGGAGCATGAGCAAATGAAAGGCAAAAGAGTATACGAAAAAGAATTTCTTCTTCACGGTGTGAATGGCACTAGCAAAACGAGGAAATGGAGGCAGATGGCCACCCAAAAGTAGACAATGAGCGATTTTTTGTCCAAAAAAATTGATTTTTTGATCGTTATTTCACTATTCCAATCATTATATTTGACTTCTTTTCTCACATGTGGACCCCACTTTTCTCCTAACGATCAAAAAATCAATTCTCAAAATAACTCCCAAACAGGCTCAATGTTTTAAAATGGTCGTTTACTATTATTTAAAAAAAAAAAAAATATATATATATATATATA